GTCTTATAGAGTCTTATAATCAGAGCCTCTTCTGTGGCAGCCCTCGTTCTTCCATCTGTTACCACCCCTCTATTTCTCCGCGTCGGTGTATCACATGTGCCCGGCAATTGTTGTTGTTGTTGTCTTCAATTTCTTCATTTTCGACCAAACAACCGCCCACCGACACCGCATGGCGAAATTTCCGCTGAAGATCAGCAAAAGTAGCAGCAGCAGCAGCAGCCGTGGGTTGGGGGAGGAGCTGGCAGAGGTAGACCCAAAAGCAGAGAACCGGTCGCTCGGAGCGAGCACATGAAATTTGTTCGCGCTTGTTGACAATTGTCGTGTAAGGGCCCATAAAGAATTTGAAATGTGCAGCGCGCATGTTACCCTGGACAATGGACAATGGACAGAGCAGAGACAACCATAGGAGAGAGAGAGGGAGAGGGAGAGATAGAGGGGCAGTTAGGTGTACAACATGACGCTTGGCCAACGGCAGCCGCGTTGTATGTCCGACTCTGGTGTAAATTACTTTAGCACAAACAACGAGCAAAGATGAACCACTCGGTCAGCTCCTCGACTGCGGCCAGTTGGAAGTTGCCAGTTGCCAGTTGCCAGTTGGCAGTTGTGGCAGGTTACAGCAGGCAGAGTCGTCAAAGGGGCAATCAATCATGTGGCCAAGTGGCGGCCAAGAATGCCGATGCTAACTAAATGGAACCTGTTCCGATTGGTCCACAGTCAGCCGGCGCAGTGCCATAGTTTTTGATACCCTCTACCCAATGTGTACAAATTAAGTAGGGTATAATGTTGTGCAAATTTATAGAATAAACGATAAACTATATGTTTTTATCAGCATCAGCTGCCAAGTCTAGAGGCCTTTGTAGTTTTCCCCAATAACTAGTTAGTTTTCTTAAAATCGATAAATATCGATGTTGTATAAGCTGTTGTGGAAGTGCATGTAAAAAAATGGGAAACTATATGTTGTAATCTTATAAAAAAAATCCTACAGACCATAAAATCTTGTTACTACCAGAGAGACTACTCCAAATCGATAAATATCGATTTTCTGGCTATGTTTGTATATTTTCATTTTTATGTGTATGTAAGAAACGATAAGCTGTAGGTTCTCAAACAGCTTTGTATTTACAGCTTGCTGTTTTTAATTCAATAAGTTCTTAGTTTTCACGAAATCGATAAATATCGATACATATGGTGTGGCTGTTGAGCATATCGTATAACATATACACCAGCAAAGAGTGTAGGCCGTAGTTGTGTTTCGTGTTAAGAGAAGAAGCAGCACTGATTAGTTTTTGTCTTTTTCTATAACTAAACATTGAATGCATATTGTGACGCTGGATGCAGGGTATCATATAGTCTTGCCTGTTGTGATTGTGCTCCATTGTTGCTATCAGTGTTAAATCTACAAGATCATTTTCTCAGCGCTGCGCGGCTCGCAAACCCATAATTTGTGATTGTTATAAAGTCGAACCGGCCAATCTCGAGCGGCACGGACCGACTGCTCCAAACCAGTCAATCAGACCAGGTTCCAGGTCTCAGCCTCGTAATAGACTCGTCGCACGCGTAATGAATTGAAACGTTTCTGATAGTTATGATCATTGCATGTTGTTGTTGTATTTATTGTTGTTGTTGTTGTTGTTGCTGCAGCTGAAACTGCAGCACGTCGCCCATTGCCCAGTGCCCATAGCCTCCTGCCATCGATCATTGCTGCATTCAACTTCAGTTGAATTTCGGCTTAGATACTCGTATCTCACTGCCTGGTCGCTTCTCAGAACTTCAAGTGGGCCATTGTCTATGTCGTTGGACGCTGTGTGGTTCCAGCTTTCAGATGATTTATTTTCCTAAGACAGCGAACCGAAGCGTTGACAGGCGACGTGCTCAGAGTCGCAAAACTGTGATTGAGCTGGGCAGGCCGTGGAAACGTTGTAATTTCAAAGATGCCTAACCTATACTTAAAAAAAAAATGATCTAATTGAACAGGAAGCGGCGGGTATTATTTGATATGTGGCATTCAATTAGCTCTAAATTCAAACATGCCTGTCAGACTTGTAAATAGTTCAATCTGAACAGAAATCGTTTAAACTTAGGTTTGAATCAACCAGTTTGAAATAGCGTATGCCAACCCAACAAAATTTACTTGAATACAATATCTAATTTAATCCATTCGATTGTTTTTGAAACGTATAGCTTAAGGTATTATTGTTGATCCAAGGTTTTCGTATCTGTGACTCTCTCTGCATAATGCCTTGGGCTTTTGCGGTGATGTCAAGTCACCATTTGGCTCATCTCTCATTTGGTTGACTTTGCCCACATAGCCGTATCAAATGAATGGAATCTCGCCAGTTGAAAGCTTGTGGCACGAATTGACTGCCAGACCGCCCGCCCAGCGGCAACTGTTTGGCCAACAGTTTGGCTGATTTTGGCTTTAAGTTTTGATGGCTTATCAGCCAAGAAGGCAGCGCAGTGAGGCAATTGCCATGGGCATCGGAAGTTGGAACTGGGAATATGGCATTTGTTGCTGCAACTACTGGATCTGGGGTATTATAAAAGGCTGCTCTAGCTAGATGCAAATACATATGTATGTCTAGGGGGCGGGACGGGCAGCTGAGGTTCTTCTACACAGCCCAGTCGGTCCTTTTGGCTTGGATTGTCTACGCGCGCGCCTATCGCGAACTGTCATCATTTTCAAATTATTTCTCGTTGAATATCTAATCAAGATTCATGCATGATCGCGGCTAAATTGCTTCCAGGCAACAACAACAGCAACAACGGCAACAACAATGCATAATGCAACAAGCACTGTGGCACCACGGCAAGCCCGGCTGGAACGTGCAACAGCATCGGCAACATGCCCCCAAAAAGTCAGACGCTGCCTTTCGGTTGCCTCACTGGAAGTTTTTTCTTATTCATTTTCCTTTTTTCTATATATATATATATATATATATATTTTTTTTTTGGCATTGTTTTTCTTGCTGCATTTAATAGTGTTGTTATTGTAGGCCAATTTCTAGCTATTTCTCTTGCGGCTCTTGAACCAGTTATTGTTCGTTCTGCAGGCAGCTTTTCCTGGCCAGGAATTAGCTTTTACAATTGCTTAAAATACAACTCAAATGAATCAGACGCCTTTGCTTGTTTTTAATGTTTACGACTTGCTGTTGTTGTTATTGCACACTCACATTAGTGTGCGAGCGTGTGTGTGTGTGTGTGTGGACATACTTGTACTTGAACTTTAACTCATCTTTATTTTTGCTTAATTGAAACTAGACAGCGGCTGTAGGTAAATATGTAACTCAATTACACACAATGCGCGCCTGTGAGCTGACGACTTAAGTCAATTGCCAGCTACTTGACATGAATCGTCAATGCGCTTGGCAATTGTGCGGCACAGGGTGCTTCAGGTGCAGCTTGTGCAGCAACCAGTGTTGATTATCGCATGTTAAACTGTAGTTAAAGTGGCTGGCAAATGTTGCCAGCTAAATACAGCCATCAAAACGAATTTGATAACATGTTTGTAAATGTTAACATGCTTAAATTAATGTTAACTTTGACATGCACCTTAAAGCGTGCAACTGTTTGAAAGTCTTTTCTATAAAACAAACTGATATATATTTTTTATTTTAACCTGAATATAGTTGAGTCAGATAATATTTTGTGATCTAGGAATTGCCAGCAAAGGATGATGCCAATTTCAATATAGAATAAGGATGATGAATGAATATAGAATAAAGTAGGCTTATGGTCTAACTCTCCTCTTTTGTGGGTAATGCTCTGATATACCTTTAGAAAAGTCTTTTCGAATTGGATTACTTAACCAGAATACTTACTCTCTGTTAATTGGAGTGGCAAATGAATTAACTGTCGATATTTGAAGCCTTCGAAAATACTCACCATGTCCATAGCGCAAATCCTTTTATATTTTTCGATAGCCTCACGGATCCATTATTGTCTATTGTGCTTCTAAGATCTATTTACTCAGGCGACGTCTGCTTGTGAAGTGGTTGTAAATGAGATTTTTATTAAATTATCGGCAACCGGTCGTTGGCTGTGTCGTTAATTTGTTGTTTGTGGCCTGGCTGGTGGTGTTGGTGGCTGCAGTTGCCACTTAATTGTTATTAACTTTCGTGTGACATTTGTGACTTTTGGTGTGGCATCAATTGACGCCCAGTGCTGCGCGCCATGCCATCCATATACGACTCAACTAATTGTTGACCCGAAAATGGCCTTAAAAATTGTTTTTATTAGATTTACAGCCACCGAATGCGCCAGTTGCCCGGGGGCGGCCCGGACCGGGCCCCCCCACTGGGGAACCAATTTCGAACATCAAGTATTTGTGTATAAAAACTGAATAAACGAGTACGATATATGGTATAATTTCGCCTGCAGCTACAGGTATGACATTTTTATTTAGCCTTCTGCGAAAGGGCCTCCAAATTTACGAGCCTCTCACCCAGTTGGTCTGAGGTAAGGGGAAGTGCAACTGAAACAGTAACTGAAAAAAGAACGAGTTGGCAGCGCCAAACGAATGGCGAAACGGGCAATGGGAACGCCCTCGGCTTGCATACGCATATATTTCACATTTATTGTATACACTTAGCAGAGAGCTCTATCATTTGGCCAGGCAGTATGCTGTAGTAAATATTTGTCGAACTCAACTGGATCGAACCACAATATTATCAATATCATAGGAACAATCGGTCAAAAATAAAAAACTTGTTTGTTTTTTTCAGATATCTAAGCAAACACAGCATTTTTTCCCATGGGAACAATGGGTTAGTTCTAGATAAATATCGAAAGGGTATTTAAACTTCTCCAACATGAAGATAACATATTTTTTCTTGTACGTTTTCTTGTTGCCTTCGACAATGATTATCAAGCATGCAAATCTTTGGGCTGCCATCTTCGTGGCGGACTTGCATCGTAAATTGATTTTTATGCTTCTTGTTGTCTGGCATGAAAAGATTGTGGTCCAAGTCAAATAATGGAAACTTCTCTCGTCTCGTTTTCAGCTGGTTGCTGGTGCTACTCGTCTTAAGGGGCAACAACTCGGCGTAATTGAAATTGAATCTCTGCTTGGTGGAGGCGTTAACTAGACGAGACGAAACGACCAGGATGGTGCTTGTGCTGAACGGTGTGCTGCAGGATGACTGCCCGATGGATACAAACAGCCTGTTCCTGCAGCATCCTGTCTATAGAGACTATGCACAGCAGCTGCATTCCATACAGGCCAAGTCTGTCGGCCCAGTGGGTCTGCTCTATGTGGGACAGCGGGAGCTGGCCGCTGCCGCACCGCACGACAAGAACATCAACATCATTGGGGCCGACGATGCCACCACCTGTATTATTGTTGTTGTGCGGCATTCAGGTGAGTCATAAATTGGCTTCGTTTGCCTTCTTTGAAACTAAACACAAGTTACTCACGGCAGGCTCTGGTGCTGTGGCATTGGCGCATTTCGATGGCAGCGGCGTGGATGAAGCCGTTTGCACAATGGTGTCGCGTGTCCAGGAGCTGGCGCTGGGCTATCCGGAAGGACGCATTGAGTTGCAGCTGATTGGTGGCTATCGGGACTCGCAAGGCTATGGCGAGGATGTGTTCTATAGCATTATGCGTAAGTCATAGGCTTTTCCGGCTTGACTTTTCCAGCTCCAAGATCTTGCTCACCAGCTTCAATCCCTTACAGAATCATTCCACAAGCATCACCTCGAAATCGATTTGACGCAGGCTTGCGTGGGCGAGCTGAACACAATGCTGCGCGGCGAGATCAATTGCCCCATCATCTATGGTGTGGGCGTTAATATCAAGACTGGCGAGATTTTTCCGGCCTCCTTCCCGGACCGAGGACCCGATCGACAGCTGCGCGACGCGCGCATCTTTATGGGCTCACAGACGGTGCGTGCGGCGAGAGCAACTGCCTCCAGTTGTCTGGTTGGCTAACTTTAATCCATTTTCATTTTTTGTTTGTGTGTGTGTGTGTGTGTGTGTGTGCAGGTGCTGGACGTTTATGACTCGACGCTGGGCATGCTGCGCATCGGACCCTTCAATTATGATCCATTGCGCGGCGCCGACCTGTGGCTGTCGCAAACAGATGAGTTTCTGCTGCAGCATTTGTCCTCCAGTCCCGACGTGGAGCCGCCGCACTTTGCGCCACAGGTGCGTTTCACACAAGACACCTTGTGGCATGGTTGCTAATTTGCTAATTGCCTGCGGGGGCTTTCCATTGCAGATGCGTGCCACCATACGATTTATACAGGAGAACCAGTTTCCCGCTGTCACCGTTTTCAGGGATAATCGACCCCGTTATTATAGACGCGATGATGCCACGGGCTGCTGGGTTTTGGTTAGATATTAAAGCTTAATTTAGTTCTTAGTTGTTACGCAAGTAGTGAAAACCGTTTTCTTGTCGAAGAACTCCCTAATACATCTCTACATCACATACCGTCAATCAGACATCAATCGGTGCATGTGTTATTTTCGTCATTTCCCGATTCCCGATACTTGATTCATGTGTGTGTGTTTGTACTTTAACTACCTGCATATATAAATATATGTATATATATATATGAACATATATATATATGTATACTTATCTCTATACCTTCTACGTATAATCGTTGCTTCTCTGCTTACATTTTTGCAATTTAATTGTTGAGTTAATTGTTTTTGGCTGTAATTAAATTCGATGCGATTGCAATTGCAATACATGCTTTATTTATAACTCGATTAGGGCAATTGCCAACTGCTTTTGTTTAATTCGCATCCAATCGAGTCTTGTATTGTATTGTATGTCAAATATCATATTCTTTTTTAATTACACATTAGGTTCGAGATTGAGTTCGGATATATATTCAAACGTATATATATATATGTATATATATATATATATATATGCCTAGAGAACACCGTTTGGAATGCGCCTTATTAATGGATCTGAAAGTAAAACGATATATTATTGTGTATGCATATATGTAAATATATATATATGTATGTAATTCTTATTGAAATGAATTATTTAAAAGAGATTCTTAGCAAAATATATATACACAATATGTAAACGAAATATTTAAATGCAATCATCTTAGTTTTTAAACTGTAAACTGTAATCAAACTTAATGAAATTAAAAATGGCTTGGCTATTCGTACATACATACCACAATATAATGCTCACATTTGTTTTATTACATAATAAATGCTATATTAAACCAAAATATAATATTACGTTTTAAAATCCGTTAATTTAGTTTACTGTAATGGTATTGCGCTGTTACTGCAATGTTAGCATTCTGTTAAGTTAACAGATATGCTCCTCAGTATCTGATTTTGCGCTTTACCTAAGTACGGCCACACTGTTCGCGATTTGTCATCTAATCGATTCTGCAACCTATCGACAGTCGTGTCGTCGTTGTCTCGGGCTGTGTTACTGGGTGGGCTAGAAATTTTCGAATTAATTCTATTTCGCATTGATTAATTGCTATATGATATAACTACGACTACTGCAACACATTCAAATTGGGTTGCGCTTGCGACGCAAGCAATTTTGGAGGACTACACACAACTAAAAAGACTGAAACTCAACGATTTCTAATCATACTCGAAAGACTTTCTACCACAAACCACGAAGTAACATCACATATTGCTGACAGCCACTGCGGAAAAACGCTCGCCACACATACGACACATATCACTCAGAAGACGAAAAAAGTGTGCCAAAGCCGCCAGCCCGCCTTTAAGCCACACGGCCGCAATCAGCATAAAAACAAATAAGAATTTGTGTAAATACAGAAGAGCAAAGCGGATCAGAGCAACAAATAAACCAATTGGCTGGCCGCTTGGCGACTGTAGTGAAAATTGATGCACACAGGGGGCGCTGCAGAGGCACGGGCCGTGTTTTTCCGAGTTTCGCTTTGGACAACGACGACGACAACGTAAGTAGTTTGGAATTTTGTTAATTACTGTCGTTTAAAGAGACAAAAGTAGAACGTTAATTATGTGTGTGTGGCAGAAATGAAACGAAACGCACACACACACACATACACCTGTGCAAACGCTTAGCATATAAATGCGCAGGAAACAGGCCATGTTTACAGTTATTTCTCATGCATTTCGGCATAGAGTTGCCAACACATGCCAAAATAAATATAGACAATTCTGTGATGAGTATTAACGGTTATCTTCAGTATATATATATAAACACATATATATAACGTATGTGTGTGTGTGTGAGTGTGCGTTGCGCTTGCAGTGAAATCGAAATTAAGATTTGCAAAAATTTATATGTGACAATGGCGAAAAGAAAAAGATTGTGCTCTGAATATTTAATGATTTTTGATATATTTTTGCAGCAATAAAACAGTTCCAGAATGAACGGCAAGACGCCATTGACAAGTGGCGGAGCCAGCGTTGATTTGTATATAACGCACCTGGATCATGTTGGACCCTATTTAAAACTATACGGGCAGGCTAATCGGGATGCCGCCTTTCTGGTCAGCACGCGCATCGAGACGCTGCTGCCCACCTGCTTTGCCATAGACCCAAGCTGGTCAAATGAGCGCCAACAGGCGCTTCTCACACCCGGCACCTTTTGTGTCTTCAAGCGGACAAATGGCGCCGCGCCCGGGGATGTGGAGTATATGCGGACGCGTGTGCTCAGCGCTGGCCTCGATGACAAACACCTGAACAATCGCAGCCAGATGCGCGTCGAGATTGAGTTTCTTGATTATGGCTACAAGCGAAATGTGAGCAGTCACGATGTGAGTATTTAATGGAAATAGAAATTCCATAGCTATCATATTCACTGATATCATATGTCTTTTTTTGCCACACCGCCAGCTGCTCTTCTCGAAACAGCCGCAGCTGCTGCAGAATATTCCAGTGCTCTGCTCGCAGTACATTGTGCTCGGCATTTGCTCGGAATGGGATCAGTCCGAGCTGGATGCAGTGAAGCAGCTGATGGTAAATCATGTGGTCAGCATCAAGGTGGATAGCACACAAATCTGTGGCCAAAAATTTGCCAGCGTGCGCTGGAAGGATTTTGAGCTGAACGAATTTCTGGTGCAACAGAAGCAAATTGGCGCGCCCATTGCCAATGAATTGATCATGGATCACTGCAAGAAGTTGTGGAAGGCAGCACCACCCTCGCCCGTCATTGAGTACAATAACAACAATATCCAGAGCACGGGCGGCTCACCGAAGACGCCCACAGATGTGGCTCGCGAACAGATTGCGGCACGCTACTCGCTAGCCGCTCGCCTGGACGTGCACCGTACACTGGCCACAACGTCACCCCGCCCTCTGAAAACCACCAACGACTATACACCACCCAAGCAGCAGCAGCAGCCGCAGCAACTGGTGCAGGTGCAGCCGCCAGCTAAAGTTACGATTCCCACGCCATTGGCTAATTTGGTAAGAGCTTGATTCTAATTGAAAAACCTAATTATTAGCATATTCAAATTTTGCATTTGCAGACAAATGTTTTGCCAAACACCATCCAGGTAGCACCAACGCACCTGGTTAATGCTCAGAAGGCCGCATACGCAGCGGTCAGTCATCCATACAATCAACATAGTGCCAATAATCAAACTTCCAAATCATCGTCGGGGCTGTTGCCCGCGCACAATGTCTTCGCGCCCAAAACTAGTCCCAGGCCACTGAATATGTATTATAATGTGCGCCTCAATAATCCCATGCAGCCACAGCCGTTGCTGCAGCAGCCAGCGTTGAATTTTGTGCCTATACCACGTTATGCTCTGGGTCAACCGCCGGCTGTGGCGGCGGCGGCTGCGCAAAAGCAGCAACAACAGTTACAGCCCATCGTTCCGGCCTTTCGCACCACCAGCCTGACCGTGGGCTTAACCTACGATGTATATGTGAGCTTTGTGGAGAATGGGCCTCATTTGTTTTGGGTGCAGCTGAAGAGCGCCAACGGAGATCTGAATGCAATGATGAGCCAAATAGAACGCATACGTCTGCAGACGCTCACTCAGTTTCCTGGCGTGGGTACTGCATGCGTGGCGCGCTTTTCCGAGGATGGCAATTTCTATCGTGCCTTAGTCAGCGCCGTTTACGGCCAGAGATTCCGTGTTGTCTATGTGGACTATGGCAATTCGGAGCTGGTAACACTGGCCGATCTCTATCAGATACCTGAGGAGCTGTTGCTGATCAAACCGTTTGCCTTTCGTTTTGCACTAGCCGGCGCCAAGGAGCTCGGTGCACTCGATGAGAGCATGAAGCGTATTTTCAAGAACTCTGCTCTGTATATAAATTTTCAACTAACAGTCCAGGCGGCAGAGAGCGTGGGCTCCATCCAAACCTGCCACCTGATGCATAATGTAGGTATCTTTCGACAAAGTTTTGGGTGCAGCTTTTAATGTATAAACATTTTTTTCAGAATAACAGCATGTTGGAGGTGCTCAAGAAGTTAAAGAATTCGCGCCAGGCCTACGCTAAGGCGGAGCAACTGCAGAACGATGATGCCGTCGAGATACGTTACATTGACTCGCCGAGCAATTTCTACGTGCAAAAGGTCAACAACATAGAGCAATTCGAGCAGTTAATGGACGAGATGTTCGCCTATTACAATATCAATCAACTGGTGCCCGAACAGCTTGTGCTGGGCGCGCCCTGCGTGGTCAAATGCGATCGCGAATGGTATCGCGCGGAGCTGCTCCGCGTGGACGACACCACAATCATTGTGCGTCACGTGGACTTTGGCTATGAGCAACATGTGAAACGGCATTTAATAGGAAATATTGCTGAGAAGCATCTGTTGATGCCGCGCCAGGCCATCAAATGCTGTCTGAAGGGCTTCGAGAACAGCGAACTGAGTCAGGACAAGATTACGGATCAATTCGAAATGCTTGCCGAGGAATCGAATATCAGACGTCGCACGTTTACCGTGCGCGTCTTTCGCATCGAACCCGACGGCCTCAATGTGGTCAATCTGATGGCCAAAAATCTGAATGTGATGAAAAAGCTCTACAAACTGTCTATGCCATTTGAGCAGTATCTATCGCTGGAGAAGGGACAGTTTAATGCGAACGTAACACGCGCCGAGTCTATAGCCTCGGATGCGCTGCCCCAGCAGCTGGAGAAGGGTCAAGTGCTCAACTCGACGACCGTAGAGAGCGAGGATCGCATGCAGTTGCAGAAGCAGTTGAAGAAAACAAACAATGTCAATGCAAATGCTCATGCTAATGCCCATGCCAATGCCAATGAGTGGGACAAACACAGCTCTGCTTCGACCAGCTCCAAGGATACTCAATCCCAGCAGAGTGGCGCTAAGCGGCATCTGCAACAGGCACGCGTGGAACGCAATGGCCCAGACAGCAATTTGGTGCGGCGCAGTCGTGATATTCGCCACGACACGAGCTTCGAGAGCCGCAGCACCAGCAGCTACACCAGCGGCATGAGCTCCCCGCGCAAGGGCAATCGCCAGAATGGACGCAATCGCACGGATTCACCGCGTCTGCAAAATGGCAAAATGGAGGCTAACAAAAATTCGTGAGTTTCAATAACGCGACATGTCTTGGACTTATTTTAATTTTGTTTTCTTTCTGGCAGTCGCCTTAGCAACATTCAATCGCCGCGTAAGGACGCGCAACAAATGCCGCAGTCTCAGCGCAATTCACCAAATCAACGCTCGCTGAATGCGCCGCAAGGTTTCGCACAGAAGCCGCAGCGTCAGAAATCCACGCTCGATGG